ATTGCATGTACAAATGTGGTATTTATTAAACGAAGAATACTGTGTGTTGATCTAGATTCTTCTGGCATATAAAGGATGTTTTGTATTTTGCACAGAGTTAGTAAAAGTTTAAAAACAAAGTGACCAACCTTGTAATGTTCTAGAAACCAGTTAGTAACTATTAATAAACTTTTTCGATAGTTGGCAGCATTTTTTGCTTCAATGCCATTAAATGAGGTTTTAATTATATTTTCTACAACTTTTTTATCTTTTTTTTCTACTAAATATGGCAATTCATCAAAAAAAATTTTAATATGGTTTGAAATATCATGCATTGGTTCATTATTTAAAATTTCATAGTGTAAAAGATTTAGTTGTGTTAAAGAAAAACCTGGTTTTTTTAAAAGAAGAGCAGGCATACCTTGCACTCCATGCATTTCATTTGTCAATAACTCCTTTAATTTTTTGACAGATGTGTTGAATGGATATTGAATATTTCTTTCATAAAGCTCTTGTTCAATCTGATCTTTTTTTAGACACGAATATAATTTGGTTTTTCCTTGGTTTACTGCCAGCTATGAGGTGTTACTTGCATTTATATGGTCTATACGACTTTGTAAGGAAGTGTATGGGAAGCTTAATGATATTGATATATTATTAGAAAGATCTGCATGCATGTTGCATGCCCAACAAAAATAATTACCACCCTTCTGATGACCAGCTTGCAGCTGTGCTGCTGGATTGTCACCTTTGAATATTCTTGCAACATCTAAAATAGGTGTTCCCTTGAATTCTAAGGGATTGCTCAATTGCAAAATGTCGTTAATCCTGTCATCGCTATACAAGAGTTGCTGGTCATTGGAAGGACATCTACCAAGTATGTATAAATAAGGCTTTTCGACCTCTGCTTGAACATTTATTTCCTTTCCATACTTTTGTTTATATTCAAAGCTACTTAAAAATATGGCTGTATCGTACATTACACTAACAGTAACAAGAAAGTGAGTGTGATTAGATATACTGGAGCAATCATGCCAAAACATTAAATTCCTTGTTCTTTCATAAGTTTTAAGTATATTCATCAGCTCATTTTTAGTTAGAGTGTCAAATTCATCTTTATATTCCTGAATATTATCAAGAGCATCAACAATTTGCTGTCGAGAGAGTGCTTCTAGTTCATTATCGTTTCGAACTTTCATGAAAATCTCATGGTCTTTGAACATATTTAGTCTTATATCTTTCAAGGAAATTTTTCTGCCTTCAATAAGAACCTCTTTTTTTGTAATTTTTTGATTTTCAGATGATATAAATACTTTTTCATATTTTTGGGGTACAATCTTTTCCCCTGAATTATATGTTCCATCATCTATTTTTTTTTTGAGTTGCTGCTTTATTTCTTTATTAGTTGGCTCGCATGGCAAAGATATATCTCTGATGTATGGCAGGTTTAACCAATAAATAAGTTAAACCATAAATGATTAATAAAATATGAAGAGTTTAACCTTAATTAATGAAGAGTTTAATTAATGATAAGTGAAAGAAAGGTAATAAATACCTCCGTTTTTTTCTTCTATATAGTATATTATTTATATTAGTGCCATCAGGGTATGTATTATCTGACATTTTTCTTTTTAGATTTAGTCTTTTTAGATCACAGTTCATAGATTCTAAAAGTTTTTTCAGTACTTGGCCTCCGTTTGCGGGTGTAATACCTAAAAATTATTTTGTTTAAAATTCTTGTTTTTTTATTGGTACTTAATACTATTAAAATGGTAAAACTAATTTATTAGCATAATACATTTATTATTAGTTTATTCTTTTTTTCAATATACTATAACATAGATATTTCAAACTATTACCTTTTTTGTTTGTCACAGAAAATTTACGTGCTAGTTCAGAAAAGTTTATTTTAAAACCATTAGGGTAGGATGAAATTTCATCTAAACACTCAACTTGTTTCCAAGAATATTTCTCAATAGAACCGACAGGGTTTCTTGCTTTTTTCTCTCCCTAAATTAGTGGTAGAAGAAAAAAAGAAAAAACTTTGTATAAGCCTCACTATATGCACCTTTCAATCCTTAATCCTTCTCTGTAGTATGCTAGAAGGTATATAACATAACTACATAAGGAATGGCTAGTACTTCTCTGTACTTAGAACACATTTGTCATATGGATTGTTAAACGAGCTCTGTGAGTGTTTTCACATCTCGTAGGTTCCTTCTAGATGTAAATAGAGTTTTAAAGTGTGTGTGTATGAATATATATATATATATATATATATATATATATATATATATATATATATATATATATATATATATATATATATATATACATATATATATATATATATATATGTATATATATATATATATATATATATATATCAGTGTTTGGAAGAACGTGTTCCAAAAGGAACGGATTCCTAGAATGAGTTTCTTTTTTGAGGAACGGAGCTAAGAACTGGTTCCTTTTAAAACAACAGAACAAGGAAAGAGAACGAATTCCTTTTTTTAAGTAACGTGAGCGAAAAGTTAATATTTTTCGTTCACGTACCTTAAAAAAATGAATTTAATTGATCCTCAAATGTTAAAACCCTTATCCTTTTGTTATAGTTGATTTTACAGCTGTAGCCAAATACAAACATAAAGCTTTGTATTTAGCTATAGCTTTGTATATGGCCACAAGTTATAATACCAAGGCCATCTGTTGCATTTAATTAATGTGTATATTGTCCCAATTATAAAAAATGCATACATCATTAATGATCATATGAGCTGGTAAGAGCTATAATGGTGAAAGTTAAATTTTCCTTAATTTGATATTTATTAGGTTTTATTGGTTTATCTAGAAAAATCTCTACATACTACTCCCAGGGGTCACTGGATAAACTAATGACTTGTACCACTCCTAAATTTAACATAATTATAAATATTGACTTAACTCAAATCTGTTTTGAAGTTATACTATTCTTATTTTAACCAACTCATTTGTTTGTACATGACTTACATTTTTTATAGCTGATATTTCTAATATTCTTCTTTTTTTTGCATTTTTTTGTGTTTCAAAACTATGGGTTAGGCGGAGCTTATCTCTATTGCTTAATGATACAGGAACACCAAATGCCCTAAAAAAGTTAATTTTTTATTATACTTTATTGTTATAAACATATATTATATATGTATACAACACAAAGTGAGAGAGTACACTCTTTCTCTCTCGCAGCAAGCACACACACAAACACACACAGTTGTATAGTATATACAGTATGTTCAAATAGTATTTAATATATAGATATAACTACTCAGGTGTGTATGAATACTTATGAGCTTTCTTATATAAATACCTATCTGTTGAGGTTTCTTTCCATTGATTTTCAATATCGTTTTTTATTTTATTTGCATCATATCTGTGTTTCATTTTTTCATTGTGTGGATTAGGTAAATTGATCTTCATAGCCTTTGTGAATGTGGTAGAATATTTTTTATTAAAGTCCTGATCTAGTCTGATTAGTGCTTTATGAGTTGCGGTTGAAAGTTTTTTTTGCCTATACATTCCTCTTTTTTCTGCTTTATATTTGAACCTTTTACATTTGACAGGAAATTTTTCTAACACTTTTTTTAATCTTTTGTTAGTTATGCATCCTTGACAGTTAAAAAGGCTATGAAGCATTTTTGAGCTTCCTAAGTTATTAAATCTTTCTTTGGAAAAGGTAAGCAAAATATCTTTCAAATACAATTTTGACCTGGACCCCTTTAAGTTTTTTATATGGTTAATAATAACCGGGCCTTTTTTTTTTATTTGTTCATAATCAAAGTGAAATATAGGATTTTTTTCAATATAAGTTTTGTATTGATGATTGAGCACTCTTGACCTAAAAACTTTATAATTTTCATTTACTAAATGTTTGATTTTATGTTTTTCAGTCAAAGCTATATATACTGCAACTTTAGCGAAACCGCAAGTTAAAGGATCAACAATAGACAACTCTGACATAACAAAAGATTGAAGTGATTTAATTATAAATCTGTTGTTTACTTGTATTCTAAATTTGGTTAACTATATTTATATTCTTCCCGCTAATTTACATGTTTACAATATCTATGGTAATTTAAAGACCGGAATTTTAGTTTAATAGTTTTATGGCATTATAAAATAGGGGTGGATTATATCACAGTAATATTCAAATTTTAAACTTAGACTTTTAAATAAACCTTAAGAGGCTTAACTTTAAAAGTCTAACTGGTCGGCACCAAATGCCCGCACAGTGCGACAAAATCGAGTTTTTTGTGCCAAAATTATTTTCGTAGTTTTTTTATTTTATTAGAATAGCTATATTTATATATAAAATGCATAAATAAACTAATAAACATGTAATTATATAATATAAAAAAATAATGATAAAAAAAGTTGGTAAGTAAATTTTGGTGAAAAATACGTATTTTTTTTAATGGACAAGTCAACTTTTATCAGTGTTTTATCAGACTGATCTATATTATAACTGGATAGCGCATCTCTAATATCGAAATTGAAGCCGAAAAAATATTTTGGCGGCCATATTGTGAGGACCCACGATTTGTTATGATGGGATTGAAAGTATCAAGAAATTAAGAGAAAAAATAGCAATATCAACAAAGTAGTAAAAATCTGTTGTAAAATGTCTAACGAATGATCGTATTCTTTAGATAATTTATCTAGATTCTTATGTTGATATTCAAAAAGTATGGTTATAAGTACAAATTGAAATATAATATTCCTATAAGTAAGTAAATAATCTTTTTAACGTTTTTACTTTAATATAAGAGTTGAAAAACATTCTATTTATTGTTGTAAATAATATATATATATATATATATATATATATATATATATATATATATATATATATATATATATATATATATATATATATTACGTTACTATTTATAATATAAAATATTTTTGTGTTTGTAAAAGTTATAGTTATTGATGATTAAATAATACCAATTTACTTAATGTTTTTCTTATATTTTTCCCTAACATTTTCTCAGTGGCTTGTTTTCCCAGATCATAAAATCGAACTTTGCAATAGCATTGAGCAATTATTTTGATTAATTTAAAAACATGATTTTCATTAATAGCAGTATCAAACATATGTTCATGCAAGTCTCTAAAAAAACAGATCCTAAACTTTCTAAAACTGAAATAGATATAACTTCTGGGATATTTTTGGATCGTGGCAGTTTTCCAGGTATTGTTGCTAGCATTCTTGTAATTTTTTTTCAGCTTCTTCACAAACAGTAACAACATCTCTTGTTGGTTTTATAAGACCACCACTGTCCTTTACTTTAAGAAAATTGGATTCTGGAGCATGTTTTTTAGAACCAAGTGCATCACAACATAACATACAAAATATTTGCTTTTTTGCCATTTTAACAACGAAGCCCGATATATAAGAGATAGCTGCTTTTTTATACTCAGTTACCAATAAAATATTAGTTATAAAAGAATAATCATGATCAGTAGTCTTAGATGTTCTTTCAGATAAGTCATATTCTCTTATTATGTTTACTGATGTAATATCCAAATTGCTGTTACTTATCATAACTGAATCATCTAAGACATTTAAAATATTTTCTGCTTGTAATTTTTCACAGTTTCCTGATGCTCCTTCAATATGGCTCCGAAGTAAAAGTCGCTTATATGCTGCAGTGAATTGTTGCGCTGTTGGGTTATTGTTAAATCCTCCTGATCCTCGTATTGAACCAAAAAATAACTAAAAATGGTCTTGACTTAACTTACATGTTAGAAGATATTTCTAAGGTGCTTCAGGAATTTCAACAAAGTTATAAAATATCTAAATGTATGAAATATATATATATATATATATACATATACATATATGTATATATATATATATATATATATATATATATATATATATATATATATATATATATAATATATATATATATATATATATATATATATATATATATATATATATGTAATACATTCAATATATTTAACTTTTTCATAAAGACACAATTTTCAGATATAAATATAACTTTACAAAATATTTTAACATGTTTAATACATTTTATTGCCATTAAAAATCCAATGAACCCAGTTTTTCTTCTTGTTTTATGCAACAGTCTATGAGATGAGTCTTGTAAGTGTGAAATATAATCATATGCGTTAGAGCCTGAGGATTTTCTGAAAATGTTTTTAAAAGCATTTCTTCACAATTTGATGATATTTTTTGTTTTTGACTCAATTTTTATACTACTGATTTAAGAGATGTTTTTTTTTTTTCATTATTCTTTGAGATTTTTGCTGTTCCGCTTTTACTTTCTTTTTTAAAGACTCAATTATCTTGTTTCTACGATCTGTTATTTGTTTTTCTGAAGTTAAACTGCAGTTATATATTTTTTTGGGGAGCCAACTTTCATGCTGAAAGGTATAACACTTGTTTCCAAATAACTTTTTTCAGAATTTTCAAAAATTGACCTATTAACAGGAACTTTTCTCTCTTTCATATTCTAATATTAAAAGAAAAAATATGTATTTATATATAGCTGTATAATTTTTATATTAAATATTATATCTAACTAGAAGGAACCTCTAAGTTGTGTTTACTTACAGAGCTTAGCTAATAGTTCATGCAGCATTTATAAAATGAAAGTATACAATAGCAAAATGGTTATTATATGTTTTAGCTGCTTACCATACAGTTGTGTTATAAACCCTCTAGCACATAGGGTAATTAAGAACTAAAAGGTACATATTAAACAAACCTGTGCAATACATAAAAACATAATCGAACATATACCTTTTTTAAGTGGTCAGGGAATTTTTTAAATCTTTTAGGAAAAGAATTTTCCTTAAACCTAACAGTTTGTCCAGTTCTGTCAATATCTTTTTCTAAAAAATGATCAGAACATATCAAACTGCTTCTACTTGGACTCCATTCTTGACGGTGTAGTTTGATGGTCCATTCCTTTCTTTTTTCAGTGTTTGAAGGAAATCTGAATAAAAGTATTAGGAAAAATAATGTTTGATATTTCATTAAATTTGTTTTTTACTTTTTGCACAACTGATATTATTTATATGTTCACATTGCAAGCAAACTAACAGAGGTCAAAAAATTTTAAAATGTTTTTATTTTTTAAAATAATTAAGAAAGTCACCTATGAAATGTTCTAGGAAACTTTCGTTTTAAAGATGATTCGTCATCAGAGATTCCATCACTATCACTTCTTTTACTGCCACCATGTTTTCTTTTATTGCAACCAAATGCAACACATTGTGTCCCTCGCTTTTTGGTATTTTCTCCAGACATTTATAGAATAATTATTTTACTGAAAAATAATTATTATTTAAAAAATTTATTAATAATTTTCCAAACGTTCTATCTATGTTAAAAACAAAAAAACATAAAGTTAAACCACCAAACTAAGGAAATAACTTGTTCACCTTACAATATTTTAAATAAATAGTTTTTCTTCGTGGGTCCTCCCAATATGGCGCTGGCGAAAAAATTTTGGCTTCAAAAATTACGCTGTTTCCTTTAGAGATGCGCTATCCAGTTATTATATAGATCAGTGGTGTAAACATCAAAAATATTACTTTTCAATGCATGTATTTGTCATAAAATAACTTTTTTAGATTTATATTTACAGAACTTATATATTATAACAGTAATGAAAAATTTTGTTGGTATTCTTTATGTACAAAACATTTTTTTTACATGTTCAGTATTTCTCATTAACTGACCATTAACCGAAGACCAATGTTTTGTTATAACTTTTTTTATTGCAAAAAGTGTCAAAATATCTATGATGCACGGCTATTTACATACATTTCGCATGAGATTTACATAATCAAATGTTTGGATAATACTGGAGGATGGTTTATCTGATACCTAATAGTGAAGGTTAGTAGCAAAAATCGAAACTGTCTGTTTTTGATGCATAAAAACTAATGATTACACTTACGTAAAATTGTTTTTAAAAGTCTGAGCGAAAAAAGTATTGTTAGTTAAAATGACATATTTTAAAATGAAAGCTAATAAAGTTAGTAGCGTAAGAAAGTTGATAATTAAAAAATGCAAAATAGCACTTTGGAACACATATCAAATTCACGTGTAAATAACCGAAAAAAATAAAGTTTAAATTAATATTTTATGTTTTTTAAGTTGATATTTCCTCTAATATCTCTCCACCATTATAACAAATTTTCCCCGTGCAATGCTGACATTGATTTTTTTGCATTTTGGCACACTCTGCCCCACTAAGCACCATGGCTGATGATCCGGGAATATACGACAATGCTAAAAGTACGACGTGAAAATTCTTTTTTAAATTTGTACCAATAAAACTTTCAAAATTAACCAATTATATTCGCAGCCGTGATTTAAAATAAACTAATCAAACTTTATTATCATGACTTTAAGATAAAAAATTAAAGCAACTGTACCGTTGCGCTAGACACACACTTTTATAAAAGTTAGTAAGGATTTATTCCATGGATTAATATATCTGTTCTATTTTTTTTGTTTTTTTTGGTGCTTTATATAACTAGAAAATACATATACTTTTAGGGAAAGGATTATTGTTAGGTAGGAAGCAAGAAATTTTTTTATATACAGGAATATTAATATTTAAGCATGTATTCTTTGTATTCTTTGTGATTCAAAAAATAGTTTTATCAGGATATGGTAGCCACTACTACCTAAAAACACTTTTTAATACACAATCACGTCCATCTAGGCCGTCCCTAGATGGACGTGAGAGTAGATTGCGTTTTAAAAAGTTTTTTTAGGTAGTAGTGGCTACCATATCCTGATAAAACTATTTTTTGAATCACAAAGAATACAAAGAATACATGCTTAAATATTAATATTCCTGTATATAAAAAAATTTCTTGCTTCCTACCTAACAATAATCTTTTCCTTAAAAGTATATGTATTTTCTAATTATCTTCAAATTTTCAAGAAGAACTCTTTGATAAAAAAATTTAAAAAGTCAACGAACAAAACAACGCACGCTTTGAAAAGGAAAACATTCTAGCGGAAAACAGAAACAAG